AATTCAGTCAAAACCGGGTCAAACCCAAGTTTTACAACTGATTTTTCCAACAATTTTAGTAAAGGCTCGAGTGATGAAGAGAATCGATCATGTGTACGTAATATATATGATGATGATTCTCGAGCTTCATTGGAAGTTTTTGTTTGATGTTAATGGAATATTTATATAGTGGAAGTTTTTAATAAAGGTGTGTAATTGACAGTCTAAAGTTTGTCAGCTTTCACAATTCATGCAAATGCAACACCAAAGTTTGTTAGGTGTGACAATTAAATTAACATGGGATTTAATTAGCAAGAAATATTATTTTACTCACTACAACAAGGAGTTCTAACAACATAAATATGGTGATTTTTTTTTTTTTGTGAAATGTAACTAAAATTGAAGTTTTTGAGAGCTTTTTAAAAGGCGTCCCAAAGATAAAATTTTAACAACTTTTGTTTTTTCTAAATGTAATCAAATCATGTTGTTTTTTTATAAATGTCACTGTGTTAACCAATATCAAAACATTTATTTGAAAGTGTAATTAAATTATGACGTTTTATACAAAAGTGTCGTCATCTTTAGTTATATGGCGACACAATTTAAAAAAAAAGTAGTAAAATAATGCCACACTTTTAAAATAATGTCACACTTGCTTCTAAAATCATAATGTAGATCCAGAAGGTAGTGTACGTTAAAGATGGGGACAAACACGTGCTAAAGATGTATGGACACTACCTAAAGGCACAAAAGTGATTGTCCAATGCAATAATTTAGGGCAACCAGTTAAAAAAATGAAAGAATTTTGGGTGGTTGGCTTAGTATTGTTGCAAGGAAAAATAAATTTTGTTCCGTTGAGTACTTAGATTGGAAGAAAATGTCTGATGAGGATAAAAATGTTTTATGGAAGCTCACCAAGGTATTTTGTGGGGTTTAGTGCATGTCTTCATTCTTTCGAGTTGCTTTTCTGTATTTCTAGTTAACGGACATTATTAATACATGTTTATTTTGATAATCCTGAAAACCTGCTTGCGAAAAAATGGGTGTTAACTTCTGTTCGTTCAAAATGAAAGAACTTTAAACATGAGCTAAAATGTGCTCATTTTCATCGAAAAAACTGAGCAACAAATTTTAGGATGTTCCAAAAGGAATTTCTCCTTTACAATGTGTTAAACTTATTCGCCTTTGGTTCTCAAATGACCCAATGGTATTAATCAACTAATATTCTTGCGTATTCCATTAATTGATTTACAATCTAATATTGTTGTAATTTATAATTTATTTGTAGAAATTGTCGGAAATCGGGAAAAAAAATAAGGAAACACCATATAACGCCTCATACTTGTTGTTCAAAGAGCTTTCGTTGCAAGGAAGAGTTTGTGAGATTCTTTAGCTATTTTTCAGGCACTAATTATCTCATTTAACTTTTCTCTAGTGATTTATGCTAAATAAATTTTAATGACATGAAGTGAAAAATATGAAGCAGATTTGGTGGGCGGAACAGCCAGAACAGGCCGAAAAAATAGATGAGAAATGATGTTCTTATCATGCCCTTTTGCTACTTCATTATGGCGCCACTTCGCCGCATAATCTTTTTTTGCAATAACGCGCAAAACATACATAGATTTAGATATGAGTCGAATGGAAATCATGCATGTTCCTAGTTGTGTCCTAAGAGTTCACAGAAGACATAGATTTTGCAATCATGCATGTTCCTAGTTGTGTCGAATGGAATTGATCATAGTGAAGTCTTCCGAGAACTTTAGGAAACATGAGTCGAATGGAAAGGGAATTCTTAGAATTTAGAGAAATAATGTCACAGGTTTTACCTGTAGGAAAAGGAAAACATAAAATGGGGGAGAAAAATCACTTTAACCGAGCCCCCAACGCATATCCAAATAGCGTTTGAGGGTTTCTCATATTTGCGTTTAACGCATAATTCTTTAAAAAAATTAAGATTGTTATGTATATGGTCATGTGTATGTATTCTATTCATTAAAATTTATTAAGATAATTTTATGATCATTACAGCATTACTATATTTATCCTTTAATTTTATGTATATTAACATATAAAAATTATATATGTTAAATTTTCTTATTAATAAAATATAACACTAAAAATCAAGCTATAATATATAAATTTTATTTACAAATTATTCATATCAAATGATAAATTCACTCTAGTGAAAGTATTTGTAAAAATTTTCTTGAAAATTCATAGAAATACTTTAAAGTAATTTCTCAGCATTCTAATAAAATAAAATACTGGAGATAATTCCCAAAAATCTCTCCAAAATATTGTTTAAAAGAAACTCTTATATATTTTTTCTTTTATGGAACAACTATGTATTCAAATATTTTGTGGGAGTATGAATATCAATTTATAATAAATAATTGTACATATATATTTAAAAAATTTGAATAATATAATATTGGGTCTAATTTATGAAGTTAAATATATGAGTAGCATTGAAAATTTGTAAAAGTTGATGTGAAAAAAAATATTACGATAATATTCTTCTGAGTTTGAAAATGAGTTTTTCGATTGGAAATGAAGTACTAATTGATGAGACAATTAATCCAAAATAATTAAGAATGTGTATTTTCATTTGGAGATTGCCTAAAAATCAAGAATGGGCTTCGTTATATCAGCTACGGCCCATCTCTCTCTCTCTCTCTCTCAACATCTGAGCGGGAATGCATTCCTGAAAATTTTTGAAAGCTCTCTCTCTCTCTCTCTCTCTCTCTCTCTCTCTCTCTCTCTCTCTCACTCAGACACACACAGACGCACGCACACACTCAATCCCACACTCGCAAGCACTATTCTCTATTCACACCGATAGATTCATAATCATCATCCCAATTCATATCCGAAGAACCCCAAAATTCCCAATTCATCAACCCTAGGTTTGTCGACATGGGAGCTTTCTGCAAAAATGGAGCATACATGTAGTGGAAGGTTTGGATGTGCAGAAATGAACAGCGAAAGCGACAAGCCCGAGTCTTCCTCTGGGAATTTTCTCAAGACGGTTCAGCCTCTTCGCGACCTCGAGTCGAATTGGACCGTAGATTTGGCGAAGAATTTGGAGGAGTATTTGCTCAATATCTGCTCTGGCCAGATTTCAGGCTACGAAGATGCCATTTTCTCTGTAAATTTTGCCGAAGGTACAATCTTTGATGAGGGTGTCATTCTTTTTCATTTTCCTTCTTCTTGTAGATGGGTTCTTTTTTTTTTACTTATTTGTGAAGTAGTTTTGTTGGTGGTCGTTATTTGCAGCTGCATTGGTGCTTCAAGGATCTGTTCAGGTGTACAGTAGGAAAGTGGAGTATTTGTATTCATTGGTCTTGCATGCTTTGGATTTTATTTCACATAAAAGGTACAGTATCTCTTTATATGCATATTTTTGTTTATATGTGTTCACTTTGTTGTTTGTGCAATAGGGTTTTGCTCATATATCTATTCGTTGTTGGATATGAAGTTTTATACTTATGCTGATTTTACTGATTGGCCGATGTATATTTTTATTTCAAATTGTTAGATAATTTTTGTTGTTTGTCATGGTTACCTTTATTTAATAAAATGAGTGAATTTAGAATTGTAAGAATGAAATGCAATGAATACACATTCATAATGATTGAGATCTGAATAGGATGAGGCAAATTTAATTTTTTCTATGATTCTGGACGGAATGGATTAGAAAACCTCTAGTTAGGTGTTTTAGTTGGAAACTCAAAAGATGACGAGCATTGTTATGTTTTTTTGTTTGAAGATAGATTTCCTTTGCAGATGATGTTTAGTAAGTTTCTAGAAGCTTTTAAGATTTTTGGTTTCGGGCACCTGACTCTGGATATCTTGTTTCTATGCATCTGTGTCCAAAATAAACTGTAGCAGAAGTTGTCTGCTCCAAGTGACTAAACCGTAGATGGTACCAAAAGAACATATTTTTCTTTATCTAGCATCTTGTTTTGGAGAGCTGGTGGTAATAGGTGATTCATTTTGTTGAATTGTTTCACAAAAAAGAACAAAAGGTGCGTGCAAAACAAACCACATTCAAGTGTGTAAGTGATTAAACTGGTGAATTTGAGCCATTTCTTCCATCCTATAAAAAGGATAAACATTTCAAGTTCAAACTTGCAAATATCAATATTTTGTTGCTTTTATGTGCAAGCTTGTGCTGCCGTTCATGCAAACAGAAACTTGTTTGTTCTTGATGCATTCATGGGTTTTGATATCTAAACTTTAGACCCATTAGTCGGATAGAAGAAATTAAGAATATTCCACATGAGAAACTGAAAAATTCAATAAATGCTATACTTGGTCCACATCAGCTACTTGATTAGCATATATGTAAAATTATTAATTCAACTGAGTGATAAATTTTTTAATAGAGAATAGCTGACAGTTATTGCAAACAATGAATTGTTTCTAATGTGCTATTTGTTACTTTGTGTATCGGGTGAACTTTGGGTTTTTTGTCCTCCTAATATTTATTAAAATAATCAATTTCGTGTTTTATCCTAGTAGTCCAGAAAATGACGCAACCAATGAATCCGGCCAAAATGGAGCAACTGATTCACATACTTCAAAGCACGAGGAGGATGATGAGTTTTGGGTTTCAGATGATATACCGGGTTTGTTGCTATATCTCTGTACCTTGCCATGATCAGTTGTGTTACATAAATTAATGGTTTAGCTTGGTTATTGTGCAGTCGACCCAAAGAATTTATTGGATAGTGCAGCCTGTCGGGAGCCTCCCAGTCATTTTGTGAGGGCCCCTGCAAATCTAGTCGTTCTTGAAGGCGAATGCTTAGATGCTGGTGATGCGGGAGAGCTAGAATCTTATCTGGTAATAAGAGTTGTTTGTGGTACCTTATGAGTCATGACTATATGTACAATTCCTCTTTAAAAATGACCAGATGATTATATACTGCAGTTAGGTGCGAGTGATCTTTATGGGGATTTCATTCTTCTGGATACTTGTGACGCCATTGCCGTCGACAATTTTCTCAGTTCAAAAGCTGGCAGTGACCCAACAAACATTCACTGGGGCAGTTCTGTAATTTCTAAAGGACGCAAGAGTTTCCTGTCGCCATCGAGGCAATCTGGGGGAGCTGGACAAAAATCGTCTGTTAAAAAACCTCAGGATGCTAATCTGGCCCAGTCTCCTTGTGTTAATCATGGATTTGAGCCTAATGCCAGCAATATCAGGAGTTCCCCTGCCACTGACTTTCCTGGTATAAATGATGATTTTGGGATGGGAGATCGATATTCAGAACATGGAGATATGCATGTTGATGATGATGATGACGATGACGATGATGACCCATGGAAACCTTTGAATCCTCATGAACCTGGGAATCTGAAAATTAAGCCTTATAAAAAAGGTTGTCCTGGTTTTTTTCTGTTTTTTTTCAGTTTTTGAATTTTTCGTAATTTTCAACTGCTTTTTTCCCCGAAATAATATAATGTACTTTCCATATAATTATCCTTTGATTTGTGTTTTTCTCATCTCATGCAGTGAAAGCTAATACGAGGCTACAGGTTGGCTCGAAGAAGCATATTTCCTTAACTTCAGAATTTCCACTTGCAAAACTCTCTGGTCCCGTTAGCACTGAACTAACTGAAATATGGGAAACAAAATTTGGAGCTGCAGAAAGATTAGGAAAAATGGGAACACTTTATGAGAAGGTTTACTCTCTTTGCGATTACTTCTTGCATTAACCTTTGTGTTTTTCCTTTCATTTATTGAATTCCTTTGCAGCTGAGGCAAACACTTGTGGAGGAGAGGAAAACAAATGATGCCTTTGATAAAGGCAAAAGCAACGATGAAGACAATGGATATGATAGTGGGGATCCAGATACTGGGCCACCTGATTTTGACATGCCGGATAATACATTCAACAATGACAATGTACCTCCATATGAAGAACAGGTTCTGCACATATACATAGAGTCGGTGAATTAAAGGCTAAACTTTTTTCTAGTGCATTTACAAGCCACTCATATTTTCCATTTTTGCAGCAGGAAGTTCCAGATGTTAATGCAAATCTCGAAGATCTTTGCCGCTCTCACTTGGTGAGAACATATTTTCATAGCCTTTTCTATTGATCAATGGCATTACACATTTTCATTTGAAAAATTGCTCTCAAGTTTCTATTTGTTTCATGAAATTGTAGGATTCTCTTCTTGCTACGCTTGCTGAAAACGAGAAACAGACGGAAATGGCCGCTCGAGTTTCTACTTGGAAACAAAGAATTGAGCAGGACCTGGAAGAACAAGTAAATATTATTGTTCTTTTTCATTCATGGCACCTGAAAGATAATCAAAAAACGCAAAATATAAGAACCCCTGTGTTAATGTTTTGTGTGATAATGGATTGTCAATTATGGCAGGATGCCCGACCACCGTTTGACATCCACAAGTACGGGGAAAGAGTTATTGATAAGTTATCAAAGAAAGGAGGAGATGATGCAAACAAAGCATTATCATTTGGAGATGTAGTCAAGGGTCAACAGAAGCATGATGTTGCAAGAACTTTTTCCGCTCTTTTGCAATTGGTAACCCGACATCCTCTCTTTTAACTAAAACAACACTTGAGGTTACCAAATAATTATAAAAATAAATAAAAATCAGAACCGTAAACCACCTTTGAGATTTAAAAATATTTTTAAAAGAATATTCATCCGTTGAAGTATGTTTGTCATTAACACTGTAGTTATCCTTTATTTTGCCTCGGTATTGGTTATTATTTATGCAGTTAGGTCAGTTGCATGCTACTTATCCATACTTCTTCGTTCAGGTAAACAATGGAGATGTCGATTTGGTGCTAAACGGCCAAAAAACTGCATCGACTTGCCATTCAGATGCAAATCCTTTCTATGTTCGTCTACTGAAAAATGAGAGGAAAAAGGGAATACTACTTCAGTCATCTAAGAAGAGGGCCAAATCTCCTGTAATGAAAGTACATGGCAATGCCAAAAGCAGGAAGGGGAAAGAAAATCTCCCTGCTGTTAGTTCATCACCTCAAGGATCTAACTCGAGTTTTAAATTGTCCGTAAGTCTGGGAAAACAGAGCAGGTCTAGATGCACCCCCGAGGGCAAGAAGAGACGAAAATCTCGATTAGTTGCACCTTTAGACATGAATTTTGTGGGATAATGCATCTAGGTAAAGATTCCAGTTCTCACCATTTCATTTTTTTCTTCTTTTCTTTTTCGGGAAGTTTAAGCCATTGTAACTTAACCATGACATAATGAAATTGATAGCTGGTCGTGTCTGTGTTTGTAACATATGTTTCTACCCGTAACCCATCAGTTGAATGTAGCATTTGGCAATGCCAAAGTTAGCTTATGGTTTTCTGGTTCTATGTGGAAAAATAACATGTAGTTGTGGAACCAGGAAGGACACATCAATGAATATGATATAATCATCATGAGTGTGATCGAAACTTAAATTTGGAAAGGGAGATCATTTCCCACATTTCATGTGTAATTATTGAAATTTACCATTTAAATGTTAGTGTGTGTTTGATAGCTCATCGGTATTTATAGCTCAAATGGGAGTGTTAAAATAATCAATGCACTAAAAATGGACCTCGGCAACAATCTAGGAACTAGGTGCTGCCCGACAACTTATAATTGGCATGAAGTTGGCTGAAAAAAATTGGTCTGACGGTTATGCAGGGCCTAGGCAGGCTAGGTGACAATTTTTTAGATTTTTTTTATGCTAATTACATTATTCGGTTATCATGTTTTTTAATAATATATTAATATTATTATTTGGACTTAAGTGTGTGCATTTATTATAAGTTTGAGATAATTTTATTTTATAAGTAGTGAAAACAAATAAAAAATAAGAAATTTCATCTTAATTTCTAGGTCCTGCATCTAGGCGCTAGGCATTGGTCGAGCGTAGACGTGGCCAATTATCGGGCCACGACCTGGCTCGGCCTGGCCCGCCGGGTCGGCAGGCCTCATTCTCATGGCCCGTGACCGATCTGCCCATTTATATGGGCCGGTTCACCGACCCGACGGGTTTCGGGCGGTTCCGGGCTTTAAAAAAAAAAAACTATGGCCCGTCGTCCAACCCGCGACCCAGATCGGCCCGGCCAGGCCCGGATTGGTGGAACAAAAAAAAAATAATGAACTGGGACCAAACCGCGACCCTACGGGTCCAGTTCAACGAACCGGCCCTTAGGAGGCCGGTTTAGGCCGGGCTGGGACCGGTTCACTGGCCAGTTCGGTCCATGAACATGTCTAGTCGAGCCCCTAACGACTTGTAGAACAATGATAATAATAAAAGAAATAAGAATGAATTGCAGCAGTTGGATGTATTATATCAACGCTCGAAGGACCGGTCAAGGACTCTAGTAGTAATCAAAGCGGCGGTGAAATTTTTGAAAGTACGAGTACTTTTGATTTTTCTTGTAGGGGCATCTTCACCATTGTGCAGAATACACTATTATGCTATTACGCATTTTCCATTTCATTTACCAATATTGTGCACTAGCACAACACCCGTGTATTACACGGGTGCTATATTATTATATATTTATTATGACACTTCTTATTTGTGCGACTTACTTGTGTTATATTATGCTAATTTTTTTTAACTTACAATATATAACTACATTACATATAAATATATCAATTGAGAAATAATTTTATTTTTCTAATGAATTTTAATAAATATTATTATTTTCTATTATAATAAAGATAAATATAATTTATTTATTTTATATATACAATATGGATGTCAAATCGAAGATTATCAAAAGATGATTAATTTGATATATTATATATGCAAAACCGATAAGAAATACAAAAATTATCAACTTTTAAAATACATTTATAATTCAATAGCTTATTGAAGGAAACAAATCAAAATTCAGGGATATATTAGTCATATAGTGCCTCACTATGTAAAATTATAAAAAATTAAAGGGTTATATTAGTAAAAGTGATATTAAAATACCTAAGTTAGCTAAATAATATTTATGGAATACCCGAACCTAGATGATTAATTATTAATATATCAATATTATTCATCCAAACCTAATTACGAAGCATGATTCTTCGCCAAATAGGATTCCGAAGCACCAGAAGCAGCCACGTAGGCTCAGCGCATTCGGGAATTATATATAGGGAGGATATGTAGTGCTCTAACGATTTGGTGAATCTGTGAACTTTTAAATACGTAGTCCATGACAATTCTATAATCTATCTATCTATCTATATCTATTCTATACTACTTTAAAAGGAAGAGTGTTTTTGTAAAAATTTATAATGCCTAAAAAACCCTTACTTTGACATAAATTTAATGACAAATTAGTAATACACTAATACACATCATATTTTATTTATAATTTTAATTAAAATTAACTACCTAAAAACCCTTACTTTCACATGTTTTTAATGGCAAATTAGTAATATACTAATGACATCATATCTTATATCCTCCCTATATATAATTAAAAAAATCATAACTTTTCTCAATTCAACATAAGCAAATCAATGAAAATAATATATTTTAAAAAATTCATGAACAAAAGTTGACTCGACAATATTATAATGAATTTATGAATTGTAAATATTTAATTAAAATATTAATTAAAAAATTGTAATTATATATAATATTATATAGAATATACAAATATTTGATATATAATGAGGCAGATGATCGAAAAAATTCTATACTTTATATTATGTCTTTTTTTGACAAATCTACAAATAAGAACATGTGAAGAACAAGATAAAGTTTTAAAAAAATATTAAATATAAGAAATAATATGAATAATAACTAAGTTGTGACATGTGCTAATAAATATAAAACAAACTAATAAACAAAAATAATATAATTAATATAACTAAATATAAACCTTCTAAAAATATACTTACCGATGTAATCGAACTGAGTTGTAAACGCTTGTTAGTTTTTTGTTCTTATTAATTTTATGTGTAAATTTGAGGTGATAGACAATAGTTATTTGTACATTTATACATGTAGATTAGAAAAAAAAATCTTTATTATTCTAATTTTAAATAACTTTTTTATTTACTATATTAGTTTCCTTAATATAATATATAAGTATCATATTGAACATATAAAACAAGAAATATTTTAGTTATATAATATTTAATATATAAGAAATGTAACTCAATTGGTAAATTAATAGGTAATCTTGGGATAAAATAGTGAGTGATTTCTGAAAAAAAAAAAAATTTATAGGAACTAAAAAATTCACGTTTTTAAAATATTTTTAATAGAAAAATTGTAAACACAATTACTCAATAAATACTACATAACAAATATAAGAAATCTTATATCCTCCCTATATGTAATTAAAAAACATAACTTTTCTCAATTCAACATAAGCAAATCAATGAAAATAATATATTTTTAAAAATTTTATGAACAAAAGTTGACTCGACAATATTATTAATGAATTGTAAATATTTAATTAAAAATTGTAATTAAATATAATATAATATAGGATATACATATATTTGATATATAATGAGGCAGATGATCGAAAAAATTCTATACTTTATATTATGTCTTTTTTTGACAAATCTACAGTTAAGAACATGTGAAAGAACAAGATAGAGTTTTAAAAAAATATTAAATATAAGAAATAATATGAATAATAACTAAGTTGTGACACATCTAATAAATATAAAACAAACAAATAAACAAAAATAATATAATTAATATAACTAAATATAAACCTTCTAAAAATATACTTATCGATGTAATCGAACTGAGTTGTTAAACGCTTGTTAGTTTTTTGTTCTTATTAATTTTATGTGCAAATTTAAGGTGATAGACAATAGTTATTTATACATTTTTACATGTAGATTAGAAAAAAAAAATCTTTATTATTCTAATTTTAAATAACTTTTTTATTTACTATATTAGTTTCCTTAATATAATATATAAGTATCATATTGAACATATAAAACAAGAAATATTTTAGTTATATAATATTTAATATATAAGAAATGTAACTCAATTGGTAAATTAATAGGTAATCTTGGGATAAAATAGTGAGTGATTTCTGAAAAAAAAAAAAATTTATAGGAACTAAAAAATTCACGTTTTTAAAATATTTTTAATAGAAAAATTGTAAACACAATTACTCAATAAATACTACATAACAAATATAAGAAATCTTATATCCTCCCTATATGTAATTAAAAAACATAACTTTTCTCAATTCAACATAAGCAAATCAATGAAAATAATATATTTTTAAAAAATTTATGAACAAAAGTTGACTCAACAATATTATTAATGAATTTATGAATTGTAAATATTTAATTAAAATATTAATAAAAAATTATAGTTAAATATAATATAATATAGGATATACAAATATTTGATATATACTGAGGCAGATGATCAAAAAAAATTCTATTATTTATATTATGTCTTTTTTGACAATTCTACAGTTAAGAACATGTGAAAGAACAAGATAAAGTTTTAAAAAAATATTAAATATAAAAAATAATATGAATAATAACTAAGTTGTGACACATACTAATAAATATAAAATAAACTAATAAACAAAAATAGTATAATTAATATAACTAAATATAAACCTTCTAAAAATATACTTATCGAAGTAATCGAACTGAATTGTTAAACGCTTGTTAGTTTTTTGTTCTTATTAATTTTATGTGTAAATTTGAGGTGATAGACAATAGTTATTTGTACATTTATACATGTAGATTAGAAAAAAAGTCTTTATTATTCTAATTTTAAATAACTTTTTTATTTACTATAATAGTTTTTTAATATAATATATAAGTATGATATTGAACAGATAAAACAAGAAATATTTTAATTATATAATATTTGTAACTCAATTGGTAAATTAATAGGTAATCTTGAGATAAAATAATGAGTGATTTCTGAAGAAAAAAAATTATAGGCTAAAAAGTTCACGTGTTTAATATATTTTTAATAGAAAAATTGTAAACACAATTACTCAATAAGTACTACATAAAAAATAATGTTTGAGAGGACTACAAATATTTTGCTATATTGCAATGAAAAATTTAACGGTAAGGTATTATACTGAAAATTTCAACGAATATGTTGCTTTCATTGGCTATTCCAATAGAGTTCAAATTAAATTACATGAATTTTAGTGGATG